GGAAGGTGAGAATTCTACCACTGTCCTGTACCTTCACTTGGGCTCTCATAATTTCTCATCTGGGTACTGCAATTGCCTCTTTCTCCTTGCCTCTTGTATTGCTCCATTTGATTCTTTTTTCAAGATTCTGCTAGAGTGATCTTTCTAAAGTACAAATAAGAGCATGCAACTACCTGCAAAGATTTTTCGGGATCTCCCCGCACCTCTTTCTTTCTCCTCCTTCCTCCCCCTTCTACCCGCATTCTCTCAGTCCGTCTGGATGGATGTTGAAAAATCTCATTAAGCGAATTGACTTTAAGGGAAGCTAGCACTTAGTCATCCCCTCAAAAAACTATAATAGGCATTTCAGCATTGTGTGGACAAGGAACTTTGGGGTATGAAGGCTTTGCCCCTCATGACATCAGCTTAGCCTAGTTCTACCTCTGCAGATCTGGTGAGGCTGTGAACTGAGGGAGATACAAAGAAAGTGGGGCTAGAGTGATGCCAGGTTGCCTACAAAGTGATGACACTGGTTTCCGTCCTGGATGGAGTTCTTTTAGTCACAGATCACGCAGTTATCTATTGTAATAAAGGAAGACTCACAAAGTTAACTATAACACTGTGATGGCTCACTTGAATGCTATATATGCATAATTTGCTACATGATAATTTGGCTTTACTAGTAAGCAGTTCACATTAGTGTGTAATTAGACATTAGTTTTCACCTCAGAGGTTCTCTGGCATCTGTAATCAGCTTCTCTACTTTCCCTTCATCTCATGTATCCTAGGAGACAATTTCCTAAAGCTGAAATTCCCCTCCAATTTTCTACTTTCCTTTTCTTTTGTAAGCCTGGATTCAGGTCAGAGGTCAAAAAGTGGCCAGCCACACATAGCCAAATCCAGCCTGCTGTTTGGCCTACAGTTCTTATTAAAAAAATTGAATTAGTCTCCCGTGTTCAAACATTAGGAAATTGCACATAAAAACCAGACTTCCAGCTTCTCTTGAAAATTTTGAGGCTGTGGCGGCACTGGCTTTTCATCCCCGTATGGCGATCATGGCCCACCTCGGGCCTGAATTTGTAATGAAGTTTCAGATCTGCTGAGGCCCTGCCAAGTGCATTTCTAGCCCCACAGGCGTTTCAGTGTGTGACCTTTGGGTCACTCATTCATTCATACACATAGTATACATCCACTATGTGCCTGGCACTGTTCTAGGCTATCTACATAAATTCCCTTACTTCTACTCCTCCATCACTTTCCTTTTATAGATGCAGAAATGGAAGTTCAGAAAGCTGAATGGGGTGACACAGCTGGTAGGTGGCAGAGCCAGATTCGACCCAGGTCACATCTCAGGCTCTGTAGTCTGAGAGGCTGTTGTCACCACCTATTTTAAAGACCCTTCCTTTCCTCTTTATATCAGTTCAACCTCTGAGATTTATGCTTCCAGCAAACATTTTAAAATGACAAATCTAAAAAGTGGCATGACATAGAAAGATGGCAAATTGCCTAAGTATCCACTAGTCACTGTTTTCCCTGCTGACTGTGGTATTTCATGCATTTTTTTTTTATAACAGGTGAATTACTGTATCAGTACACAAATGCAGTCATGAGCATTCCCATATGAGCACAATACCTCAACACTTTTTTCTAGATTCTATCTAACCTGCATATTTGGTAATTTTATAAAATTACTAATATCATTTACATAGAATCAAGGAGCAATAGAATAAACTGATTTTTTTAAATTGTACTTCAGATGGTTTACAGAATAGTTTCTCATTAAACAGTTAGTACACATATTGTTTTATGACAATGGTTAACAACCCCACAACATGTCAACACTGTCCCTTCTCAACCTTGGGTTCCCTATTACCAGCTTTCCCATCCCCTCCTGCCTTCTAGTCCTTGTCCCTGGGCTGTTGTGCCCCATTAGTCTCGTTTTGCTTTATGGGACTGTCTAATCTTTGGCTGAAGGGGGAACCTCGGGAGTGACTTCATTACTGAGCTAAAAGTGTGTCTGGGGTCCCTACTCTTGGGGTTTCTCCAGTCTCTGTCAGGCCCGAAGTAAGTCTGGTCTTTTTCTGTGAGTTAGAATTTTGTTCTACATTTTTCTCCAACTCTGTCCGGGATCCTCTGTTGTGATCCCTGTCGGAGCAGTCAGTGGTAGCTGGGCACCATCTAGCTGTACTGGACTCAGTCTGGTGGAGGCTGTGGTAGTTGTGGTCCACCAGTCCTTTGGACTAATCTTTCCCTTGTATCTTGTTTTCTTTATTCTCCCTTGCTCCCGAAGGGGTGAGAGCAGTGGAGTATCTTAGATGACTGCTCACAGGCTTTTAAGACCCCAGACGCTACTCACCAAGGTAGAATGTAGAACATTTTTCTTTATAAACTGTGTTATGCCAATTGAGCTAGATGTTCCCTGAGACCATGGTCCCCACAGCCCTCTGCCCAGCAATTTGGTCCCTCAGGGATTTTGGATTTATCTGTGGAGCTTCCATGACCTTTCCTTGTATAAGTGTGCTGGCTTCCCCAGTATCGTGCACTATCTTACCCTTCACCAAAGTTACCACTTATCAATTGTCATTTTAAACCGATTTTCTTAATTCTTCAAAGGCAAAAAAAGGTTTTCTTAGAGTTTATATTCTCCTGAAATGACCGAAGTGTACTCTTCAGCAAAAATATCCAAAAACCTAGTTAAAAAGATGTTTTAAATCAAAGTCTACAGAAACTTTAACAAATGTAAAGACACAAAAGGGCTTCTGACCTCAGTTAATTTACTCTGTGACATTAACTACCTTGCAGGGTGGATCCTCTAGTTTCTTCTGATCAAGTTTGATCATGTGAGAAATGACTAGTGAGCAGGAACATGAAGGCTGAAAGCGGAAACTGCCGCCACCCAACCAAAGATTGTGGGGCAGACCAGGTGAGTTCCCTGGTGTAGTGTGAATGGCAGAAACATTCAAATGACCTTGTTTCCTCCTTTGCACACCTGACAAATAGGAGACGGTGAATCAATCATCATTTCCCTTCCCAACAGTTTAACATAAGACAGTTTTTATGCTTTTTATACCACATACTATAAAAAAGCCACGTGAACTGAATCAAATTTAATCTATGCTGTCTGGGAACAGTAGTATTTATGTTAAAGTATCTAACATTTGTAGCCCTGGTGGCACAGTGGTTAAGAATTACCATGAGCTACAGCTGCTAACCAAAAGGTTGCAGTTCAAATCCATCAGCAGCTCCTTGAAAACCCTATGGGACAGTTCTACTCTGTCCTAATACTGTCGCTATGAGTCTGAATGGTTTTTTTTTCTGGATCTAACATGTCAAACTACACAAGACAGACTGTAAAAAATAGGCATAATTTTTATTTATGATTTTATAAAAGAACTTAAAGTTTTCCTTTTTTTTGTCAAAACACCATTAGGCAGGCTGCAATGAGGGCAGTCCAGCAGGACACGAGGCAGGCAGCTGAGTGGGGTGGAGACGGGGATCAGGACACTGGTTACATATGGGGGAACTGAACAAATAAAATCAATATATTGAGGATAATGAGAGCCAGGTTTCTGTCAGAAAAGGAAGTTACAAATATGGACAGAGGGAAAGCTTGAATGAACCCAGTGGTGTCAGATCAGAACTGGAAGACTGATGTGAACTCATGGTTTATGTTTGTGTGTTTACATGGAAACCTTGGTGGTATAGTGGTTAAGAGCTACGGCTGCTAAACAAAAGGTCAGCAGTTCGAATCCACCAGCTGCTCCTTGGAAACCCTGTTGGGCAGTTCTACTCTATCCTATAGGGTCACTATGAGTCGGAACTGACTTGCCGGCAGTGGGTTTGGTTTTTTTGTTGGTTTACACACATACACACACGTGTGTGTATATACACATATATATTCTGTCTGCCAAGAGAACTGGGAACAGTGACAGTAGTAGCAATGAGCCTATCTAGCACCCAGATCTAGGTTGTAAAGTGCCAGTCTCCATCAAAGGAATCAGGATTCTTTGGGAAAATGGCTGATTTTTTCCAGGGAATGCAGAAGATGGGTCTGAAAGCAAGACAATGCTCCAAGAATAAAGACAGCTTGTCAAAAGACAGAAGCTAGCGGAGAGGCTCCCACTGGCCAAATATGAGGCAATTTGAGCAATTAAGTGATGATAATAATGGATTTTATCTCATTGAATACAACAGGAATCCACAAGTCCACTGTGATGTCAGTAAATAATGAGAAGAAAAAGCTTTTCCTTACAGCAAAATGATAATAAAATATATAGAAGGAATGAAGGAACTAGAAAATCACCATTTGGTAACCATCAGAGTAATAATTCAGGCAAGAAAGCTAAAAGCAGAGAGCTAAGGTTGGATGAGGAACTGGGTATTTACGTAGTTTCAAAGTATTACTCCCACAAAATACTTATTATAAAGGTGGTTATTAATTATAAAGGGAAAAGAGTAACTTTATAGTTGAGAGGCCTACGCGAAAGCAATGGGACAGAAAGACCTCATGGGCCTCCTGATACGATTTGCTGAACCTAAGCATAAGGAAACGTCAGATAAACTCAAACTGAGGCATTTCTATAAAACAATAATCTGTAATCTTAAAATATGTTAAGGTTATGAAGGTCAAGGAAGGACTGAGGAACAGTTCAGGACTGAACACGAACCTAAGTGATGAGAAACACGACAACTAAGAGCAACACGTGATCCTGGTTTGGATCCTTTTACTATAAAGGATATTATTGTGCAGCTGGTAAAATCTGAATCGGGTTTTTGGGTAAAAGGTATATGTGAGTTCTTCGTAGTGTTCTTGAAACTTTTAAGTTTGAAATTATTTCAAAATAAATAGAAGTGACAAGTAACCTTTGTTCAAAAACTTTTATTTACTATAAAGACAAAACACCAAAATAGGTACAAATACTATAAAATTGGTTCAATGGGGTAAAAATTTTAATTAAAATATCTTGATATATTTAAAATAACAAAGGATACATTTAAGCCAAATTTTCTTAACCCAGAGATTTTTTTTTTTGTAACATTTGCTTACACAGTAAGGTGCTAATAGAAGTTAGCCCTTAAGCCCTGGAAGTCTTAGGAGTCATAGTCACACAGCAAATATAATTTCATTGTGAAAGTGAACTTTGGTAGAAGAAAAATCTATAGGACACCTGAGGTAGTAGAAACTGGAATAAACAGCAGTAGACGTTATTTACAACTTGAGTACCAAATAACATTAAGAACACAAAAATAATTACACAATACAATTTTCAGTCCAGCTTTGATCCAAAGAAAATAAGAATATTACATCACATTTGCATTGAAAACAAAACAAAACAAAACAAAAAACACCACAATTACCAGCAAGCTGAGGGAACTGCAAACTCAAACAAAATGGATTTTGACATCTAGAGGCAGTTTGAGTTTGAAATGTGGTGGGCATGGTGATCTACAAAGTAATACTGATTAGCTGAGGTTCCTCAGTTTATACAGTTTACATTTCTGTCAGACACAGTATTAATCTGACAAATGATCTTCCAGTACACAAAATGGCAAGAGTGCATCCTTTAAAGCTTGCACATGAAAAGACTTGGAACAATCTTATTAGAATTGTGAAAATTCTAAGTAGTCAAAAAAAAAAAAAGAAAAAGGAAATAGAAAAGTCAAGTACAACACATTTAGAGCTACCAAACTTCACATTTCGGTACTATTTTTCTTTTAACTCTTCAAATATTGCCAATCTTTCAAAACAAAGGAATGTAAAATTTCACTAAGAAACACAATCACATAAAAAAAAAAACTGCCTTTTAAAAATTATAAGCAATATATCCCTGTAAACTTATCTTGTAACTTATTTTACTTCCAATTTGTGTTGTACATTTTAAATGTACTCTATATAGCTTATTTAGTTTATCCTGAGTCTTGGAGAATAACCAATTCAATTTCACTCTGCAACAATTCAACTGGCTTCTGAAGAGTTAAAAACTTAAAATCTTAAAAAGTTGTATTAAATACTTAATCAGTACTTGATTTAAAAGACTCACAAAAAGGATAAAAGAGCTGCCATTTTCCTTCAGGATTCTATGCATCTGAATTCAACTCCAGACTAAAACCATTAGATAACTGTGCAAAATCCAAGGAAATAGTATGTAAATGAAATTGAATTTCACTTATCTTTCTAAGCTCAAAGAAGACTTTTGCTTAACAACACCATTCCTCATCGGTGATTGAGTAATTCTCCTTTTATTATCTATTGGCCAGACTTACTGCAGAGATGACGCGTGGCAGAAGGAAAACAGCAGGTACACGTTATCATCAGCGGTGATGGTGAAGGATGGATTGTTACATACAGAGTAAGACTTAAACCTGTCTTATGGTGTGAAGTTTCCTACAATTTGACAAAAGAAGCTGATATATTTAAAAAGTTGAAATCAATTCATAGTAATCTTGATCTTGGTTGCGAGCTGCATCACAGAGAATAGCTGATTTTCATTTAACTTATATTTAACCTGCACAATAAGAGCAGTTACTGACTCAATGAAGGTAGTATTTTATCATATTCCAATTTAAAAAACAAAATTAAACCTGTATGTAAAAACTCTTGCAACAGCAAGATATTTAATGAACTCTAGTTCATACCTAGTTATATATTTTTTTCTGGTTTGAAAAGATCACCTTTCCCTGAATATTAAACAAAGATGAAGGTGTAATGAAAATACAGAACCATAATTTCCAAAAACGAAATGAATGGGTCAACAGTAAAATGCACAATAAACCACAACTGCGCAGGCATTTAAAAAAATAAAGGTCAACTGTGGGTCAGAAAGAAATTATCACCTTTTAAAAAAATATGTATTTACTGCTCCTCATAGCATAGTCTGACCTAAAAAAGGCAGATACTGATTTTTATAGCCAGTGACATAAGAAAAAAAAAAAAACGGAATTGCAGAATCCCCTGCTCCTGATCATGATACAAAATGGAAGAGTAATTGAAACATTAAAATATCCTGAGCCCCTCAGCTGCTAATATTGCTGAAAAAGTGCTCCAAAAAAAATTAAATTACGCTTCTGTCATTTAGTCATGCAAACTTCATTGCTTCCTGTTCACCTAGGGCCAGTTCTTTGAAAGGCACAGTTTACAGTTTCTGCACAAGTTGTGGACTTTTGCATACTGAGCTTAGGTACAGATCATGATTTGTCAATCACATACTTAGGTAAGGGTTCCCCACTGGCCTCGTTCATAGCTGTTCAGTGGCATGAAGGCCCGCAGATTATCAACGTGGTTCCCCACAAAAGTTCTTATCCTCTTGTTGAGCATCCTGTCTCCGTTAATAGTTTATTTGTATAATTGGCTACCACGTAGTACGGAAGACTGGATGCTTCAGTAGCTCTCTTGATGGAGGTCTGTCCTGAGGTTGAAGTTCTAAACAACGAAGAGCCACATCTCGTAAACCGGGAGACAGATGTGAAGGAATCGATGGAGCAGTAGTTGCACTAGCAATCTGCAGGAGAAAAACACAAAGCTTTGAAGATTTTCACAGTTGGAACTTTTGATATTTAGAAGTATGCATGCATATATTTCATAACCTCTACACAGAGGAACTGAAGCAGAAGCAGGCAAACTTTCTGCTATCAGAAGAGTCCGTGGAAAAACCCATCCACTGGATGGGAGGTTTCCTCTAAGAATTCTTCAAATTTTAGAATTTAAGCAAATGCATCCTGCTTAGATACGGATCTACAGTTTTCCTTACTGTCTCAAATGAATAAGGCCAAGTATTTCAAAACAATCAGGCAGGAAGTATTTACTCAAATGAATTCTGCTTTCCTCAAATTCATTCTCTGGGTTTGTCCTCTTTGCTTCACTGCATGTTTTCTACCTTTTCTGCAGAGAAAGCTATTCAGAGTAAGAAAGACTAAACCTGGCCAGTCAATTTAATACACCAGAAACAGAAGTGCGTTGATTATTTTTCTTCAATGTTGGATAAATATTTTTCTTCAATGTTGGATAAATACTAATTCTTAGTATCAAACACACTAGGAAGAACTGATTTTTTGATAAACAGGTTAAGAATAAATCTAAATAATTTAAACTCATCTATATACTCTCCTAACCACATAAAAGCTCTCTGCTCCGCTAACCCAGTAATTTTCTGAATGCTCTGAGTTAAAAAAAAATGAAAGGAATACAGAGAAAAAAAAATTAAAAGCTCATGATCCTGTACCAAGATATACTCAGCTGATACCTACACATCTTACACATCCATAAAAAGGAAAAATACAAAACAAAGATGAAACTCCTTCTTCTTCCTCTCCCCAAATATAATGGTTGCTAACAATTTCTTGTGTTTCCTTCGGTGGCGTGGAAAAAAGCCACCCCACTTGCGATGGGGTTCCATTCTGACAACTGCTCTATTGTAAGTTGGTTCTGACACAAGTCAAAGACCTCATTTTTTTTTTCCTTCAGTTTTCATTATTATTGCCTTTTGTTACCAGTATCTTTATAAATCCGATCTTTATTTGTCTCCGGGGGCTGGAAATACTACATCTGAGAATGATAACATCAGCAAATTATGCACTGAAACATCGTATGTGGTACATACTTCTACTGAGAAGATGTACCCCCCCAAAAAAAAGCCCCCCAAAAACAGATGGTCGTTAAGTGTGGTTCGTTGTAATTTGAATACGTTGTAAATCTGAGACGACCTGTATTCACGTCTTAGATTTTCTTCATAAAATGTCTACGAAAGGAGTACTTTATACACCTTGCTTTTTTCACTTATTAATGTATCTCAGAGCACTTTCTACGTCAACACCAATAGCTTTATACTACTCTTTATAATTTCTGTATAGTTTTACAACGAATATATAATTTTACCACTCTCTTATTGCTGAACACTTCAGTTAGTTCACGTTTTTGGTATTACAATGGATATCCCTGATCTTGGCAACATTCGACAGGTAAATCTAGAAACTTCTAATAATCGGCACGGCCGAGTCAAAGAGTAAGTGCATTTTATTAGCAGATAGTGCCAAATCATCCTCTTAAAAAAACGTGCTACAGCAATTTATACTATACAAACAGGGAGTGTTTGAAAAAGCTGTTTTTCTATTTTATTTGTGGTTTCACCAAAACTCTGAAAATCACATCAAACTTTCAAATTTATCCTAGCTACGAATTATTCATTAAGCAACTCCTGTACAAGACTCTACGGAAGGAACATAAATGAATCAGACACGAAGGGTCCTAAAAGAAGCTCAGAGTTTGAGAAAGGAGGTATCAGACCAACACAGAGGAAGTGGGAGACACAGGTACATCCTGAAGAGCTGTGGGAGCTGGGGAAGGTGTTGCAGGAGGCGTGTGAAGGAAAGCCTAGGCAGAAAGAGGAACACTGGATGTGGGCTTAATGAAAATGAGAATTTGAACCACATACAAATGGGGTCCAGGGAAGTATGGCAGAATGGAGCAAGAGAGTGGTAACACAAACTAGCTTTGATTAGAGAGGTGATTGAGGAAGGTGTATTCGCATGGGAAGGACCGGAGGAGTTTGGGGGAAGAGGTTATAGCAGGTGAGAGGGGCTGGAGGTCCAGCTCGGAGGACTAATACTAGCCATCTGACTCTGAGAGGGGATTGTGTAAGTTAAGTGCTTTACGTGGGCCCAGGGGTGATTTTGTTTATTCCTCATAATAATCCCATCAAGTAGGTGCTATTATTACACCTATTCCACAAATGAGAAAACAGAGGGTAGAGACATTTTTTGCCAAAGTCACATGGCCATTAAGGGTGGAGCCAGGATTTGAAACCAAACCTGTTAAGACTCCAAAACCTATGCTGTTAACCACATGCCTGACTCAAAAACTACACATTTCAACCATTACACTAATTCTGTGGTGGAAACAGAGAGTGGACTTGAGAGCTGTCAAAACGCAGAACAGACAGTATTTGGCAGCTGATGTGGGTGTGAATTTTTGAAATACAGAAAATAGTAAATCAGATTAAAATTTTTGTATTATGTACAATATATGAAGAGCATCAGATTTTTAAAGTTTACATTCATTAAACATACAACTGAAGTTTTTAAAAGAGCAAGTCAAATGAAGAAGATCTGAAGCTTAAAAGGACATATATACAAAAGTGCTCTTTCCATGACATTACATGACACCAAGGTTCATCACACCATATACATTCCTGGCAATATCTACAGATATATTTATTTCAAGGAAGATATACTTTCACATTAGATTGATAGTTGAAGAGAACCTGTGAGAGTAATTTTTATTTCACAATTACCTTAAATATCAAAGCCAGATGATTAGAGTGTTTTTCTGCATTCCAAGGTGGTTTAGCACAAGCCATTTCTATAATAGCACAGCCAACACTCCACACATCACAGCTCCTACCATACTGCTGACCTCTTAGTACCTAAAATAAAGCAGAGAGCTAATCTGGAAATACGACCCATTAAAAAAAGAGAAAGCTATTTTGTAGTAGAGTACAAACAGTAATGGTACTGCCTCAGCAATTATATGGACTACTTCATGTCTCCTTTATTTCATTAACAAGCTTAATTTTCCATGTGGCACAAAGGTATTCTGGAGAACTGTGAGATTCTGAAGAAGAGTCACATCACTGAATTTCAAAGCAGCCCCACTGCTCTTGGTAAACTGGAGCAAGATGACAACAGTGATCACTATGTATGAACACGAAGAGCTATGAATACAAAAGGGGCCGAATTCAGAACAGCAATGCTTAGTTAAACTTCATCCACTACTGATGAGACCTGCTACTGTGTGGTCATCTCTTTCGGGAATGTTGTTGTTAGGTGCTGTCGAGTCGGTTCCGACTCACAGCAACCCTATAGGACAGACTGGAACTGCCCCATAGGGTTTCCAAGGAGCAGCTGGTGGATTCAAACTGCTGACCTTTTGGTTAGCAGCTGAGCTCTAAACCACTATGCCACCAGGGTTCCGTCTTTGGAATAGAGATAAACTTTTAATTTTTTAATATTTCAATTATGTGCACTTTGCATTTACTACAAAACAACTGTGATAGATTACCCAACAATTCTTCATTAGAAATAGCTTTTAAACAAATTTATTAATACACTTTTTTGAATTTTGTCAAAACAGAGATGGAAAGCCTAGGATAAAGGGCTGAAATTAAGGATATTATTAAAAACTTATCTTTAGAGTCACGGACTTCTAATTGATAAGCACATAATAAATACCAATGCAAAACGATTTGGTATAATGCTGTCACGCAGAACTCTAAAATATTTTCTCCTATCAAACTCAAAGCAGCTTCTCACCTCAGGTGCCATAAATGCAATTGTCCCCAGTAATTGTCCCTGAAACTCTCCTGCACCAGTTCCTTTTGACGCCAACCTGGCTGCAGCTCCAAAATCTGCAATTCTTAGCCTCTGACCTGTGCTGTCAATTAGCAAATTGGCACCTGTCAACAAAACAGCAAATGACATTGCAGGTTAAATCAAAAGTATGGGCAGATTAAAACCCAGTAAAACATCACTAATGAAACGAGTCAGCGGAAGAAAGAAGTGTACTACATGTCAGAGGTTCAGAGAAATAAAGTTTCCCTTTCACTTCACTTCATCATTGTTAAAGGAACATAGGTCTCTACAGTACAAAATAAATAAAAATCTAAAGCCTCAGAGGGAAAATCTGAAGAACAAAGTATTAAGGCACAAGGAGATGAAGGCAGAGATTCAGTGAAACTTTAAGAGTAAGTGCTGACAACTTCAATGATTCCCAACAAAATCTTTCCCTAAAGTCCAAATTTGGGTATAGTTTACATTTTAAGACAAAGTTGAAACATACTAAGCTAGGCCAATTCAAACTATATGCTACGACTTTATAATTAAAGCTTGATTCCAAAAATTAATCTTATAAAATTAATTGAATATATTATGTCAAACACTAGCTAAAGAGGTTCATGACAGAAAACTAAAGTCGCTCTTAATAAAAACAAATGGGAATTGCAAAAGATTGTAGAAGATTTTTCTTAAAATTTTTTTTGTGATGTATCAATTATTCTAAACAAAACTGGCAACAGAAACTTTCTGAGAGGCAATACATCACGAGAGTAAGTCAGAGAATCAGGAAACCTGGGTTATACATCTGGCTCTGCCATCAACTAACAGTCCCAGTCTCTCTGGTACTCAATATCCTTTTCTTGTATTCTTTGACTTAGTCAGGAGAAACAACCCTATATTTAATCTCAAGTTAGAAATTATCATCAAAGGACCAAGTTTTAAAACTACATTCGTTTTCTTCTTATTGCCACTATATAATAATTAAAAGAATTACTACCTTTGACATCTCTGTGAATGATCTGGTTTTCATGGAGATACGAAAGGCCACGAAGTAACTGTTCAGTGTAGTTGATAACTACTGATTCCTTGAAGGCTCCATATTTACTCAGCAAATGAGCCACAGATCCGCCTATAAGACAAATATAAAAAAGTAATAATTATCAACTTAAGCCAGAAATAAAATTGTTTACCACACTTTGGTTACTTAAGCTTACACTGCATGGAAGATCACATTCACATTGAAATGTTGAATTTATATCCTGCCTCAAAAGTAAAACTAATTTAAAAACTAACACATTCAAAAATCTATCAACTAGGAAACCTTTTCCCAGAGCCCTCATGGGACTAGTTGCTAGAGGGCCAAGATTTCAGAAAGCTTTGAAAATGAACAATTTTGAGTAGAACTATTTTTGAAATGTGTAATCCACCTTTCTGCCTTCTCAACCAAAATATACAAAACACTTAATGACTGAAGTAAACAGTGCCAACACATGTGATTTAGCAGAAGGTAAAAAGCTTGAGGGAGGAGCCAGAAAATGCCGAGTTAGGCTCCGTATCCTACCATTTACTAGCTCTGACCTGGCCCGAGTCCCATGCTCAATCAGCCTCAGTTAAAAGCAGTGTTTGAATTACTCAGCCTAGCCACTCTTTATGTCTTTATGAAGGCCAACATCAGATAAGGTAGTAAACAACTGGTTTGTGAACAGAAATGCACTCTTTAAATACAAAAAATTACGAAGTTAAAATAAGCACTTACCTCTTCATCACATCTCAAGTCATTAACTTTATGGTACACATTCTATGACACAAAATAAAATTTAGCCTGTATTTGTTTGAGTAGATGATACGGCTCAGCTTTATGCTTTAGTGCTAGTTTACCTGTGATAAGTTTTTCCAAACTATATCTTAATTAGTAACTTTATTTTTATATTGCCCCATTAACCAAAAAATCCAGTAGAACTGTTTAATTAATGATAACCACCTGGAAAATTTGGGTCTTATACATAAAACCCTGTTGCCACTGAGTCGATTCTGACTCATAGTGACCCTACAGGAAAGAGGAGAACTGGCCCATAGGGTCTCCAAGGGTGTAATCTTTACAGAAGCAGACTGCCACATCTTTCTCCCATGGAGTGGCTGGTGGGTTCAAACCATCAACCTTTTGGTGAGCAGCTGAGTGCTTAACCACTGTGCCACCAGGGCTCCTGGGTCTTATACATAATTATTCTTATGAAACAATGCTATACGATCACTTTAAAAGAAACAATGGAAAAAATTAAAAGGTAGCTAGTGAATATTTTATCTATATTTAAATATAAGACAAAGCGTAAGGTATTTACATTTACAGTTCATACTAATATACTGGGGCAATTTGATAAAACTATCGAACTATTTGATAAAAATAAGAAGTGTTCATTAAACTGTTTTCCTAAATTTAATATCAAGCAGGAAGTTAAAGCCATGTACCTATTATTTATAATTTAACACATGAATATACCTGCCATCCATTCGATGAAGAGATTGTAATTGCTCTTCTCACATGTGGCGCCTAACATCCTAATGATGTTGGGGTGATTCAGATGACTCATCATTCTTATCTCTTCTCTTAATGCTTCCACCACTTCTTCTTGCTCAGAAGATGTGTTTCTGACGTATGTCACCTGTTTCAAACAAACATGTTTACAGAGCTGTTTTGAATTCTGATGAATTTCTATTTATAATTTTCATTAACAATCTGATCTAAAATGGACAAATCCAAATTAGCTTATATATTAATTAGCAGATAGCTTTTATGTTCATGGACACAGTATACGTATTCTTTACTTACAAGTCAAGTCAGACTCTCAGACAATAAGAGCCTAGCTTAAGAAGCACTGAAATATTAGAAAAATAACTCAAAATTGGGACATAACCAATATTCTAACTGTCTGAAGACAGAGTAAAAAACAAGAAAAGCCTAATCATGGAAAAAGAACAAACATGATTTGAAAAAGGAAGCTTTATCATTTTCGTATATGTGCTCACTACAAAAAGTGCACCACAGAAATCCCAAGATGGTACTGCACCAGTAACATATTGCTAAGAGGAGTATGACACTATACCTCTGTTAACTATAAAAAGGAAAACAAAAATGCTTCTATAAGGCCCATCTCGATACTGCATCTTACAATCATCACGCTTAATAATGGAACTCATGATGCTTTCGGAGCATTGGCAATATCTACTTCGAAGTTCAGGTTTCTCAAAGTTTAAAGAACTGAAGTATATACAGACATGGACATACCTTCCATTGTTCGTACTTGCTCATGTTTCATTTTATAATTTTAATCATTCATTTATGTGCTCCCTAGGTATTTACCTGTTTGACAGCCATTAAAGTTCCAGTTCCCACATCTTGAGCCTGGTAACATGAAGAAAATGCTCCAAGGCCAATCTGCTGGCCTTTCAGCCACTCCGTATCTTCTCTATAAGGCTGTTTTGCTTTGGTATGTCCTGGTAGAGTCTCTGGTGTCTACATATTAAATGAAAGCAATCTTTTTACTGTTAAGTTAGATTTTGTGAAATTAGCCTGGCAAAATGTAACTGCTGTTCAGTTTGGCTTCCCAAAGCACTTTGAAACTTGACCGCTGAATGGATACTGTTGGTGATCAGTGTCAAACACAGAAGTGATGACCACCATTAAACAATCAATCAAAAATGTCTTCAAAACAGCCAAGTAATATTTCTGCTCAAACAACAGTACAAACACTACTGCTGTACTATTAGTATTTCTATGTGAAAAACCTGCTTGCAATTATGAATTCATGGTAAAAGTAGCATTTCTGAATTAGATTTAGCATGGTCCCAGGAAATTCTCTAACCTTCTAAAGACTCTATATATACTTACATCCTGTTGGATAATGATGATATCTTCTCCATTTTCAACCTGCAGCTGAGGAACTATGGGGAGGGCATCCTGAGACGCTGACATTGCCATGGCAATTGCTAAAGCTTCTTCTTCTTCAGCTTCCATTTTTTCTTTGCACTTTTGATTATGATTCACATCATCTTTGTAGGTATCATCATTTTCAGCCTTTTCAGGAGAGAGGACAGCAACTTCTGACTTAAAAGTTACTGTTGTGTCACTTGAAGGCATGGATGCTTCAAGAAGGTCCTCAATACTGGAGTTGAGCTCTGTATTGACATCTAATCTGCATTTCTCCTCTACCGGGGTGAACACTGTCTCATCACTGGGTATAACAGCATTATTACTATTGCTGCTACTGCCAAAGCTGTCATCACATTTGGAAGAATTGTTCAGATCAAGTGTCATGCTATTTTTTGAAGTATCTCCCTGCTTACTTATACTACCTAGGGTAGGTCGAGATGGCTTTGGCCTGTGTATATTACTGGAGGGCAGGGGTCTTGACTGAGTAAAGATGGGGGAAAGTTTGTCTGAGTCTTTGCTTTCGGAACAGTTTCTCTGGAACTGTAGAGAAAACTTGCGCTGGGTTTGAGGAGATGCAGAAGGTATATTACAGGGAACAAATCCCTGAGGTCTATGCTTAGAGACATCTGTTACAGTGCCAGCTGGTACAGATGGGGCAGATGAAGAAGGGGTTGACAAGGCTGGGAACATTAATTGGGAATGATGAGATAAAGGAGAGGAGTTCAAACACTGACTGTGGGGCCTGCCTTTCGTTTGAACCATTGGCTTTGGTTGCTCTGTTGTTGTTGCAGAACTAGGAAGTCCTACCAAAATGCTGGCCAGTCTGTCAGAAATGTCCTCTGAACTGGCACTCAGTTTTGCAGGACACAATCCCTTTCCGGTTTTCCCTAAATGGACTGTGCGTTCAAGGGAACTGTTCTCTGTGGTTTCTGGATAGTTGTTAGGGGTAGATGCCTGCAAAAAGCTGTCACGCCGACCATCCAAAGTGTCTTCTATGCCCAGCTGGACGGCCTCAGCAATCTCCACCTCATCTGCAATAGCCATCAAACGCCGACGCATCCTGGTAAAGTGAGTGGAACTGGAAACGCTCAACATTTCTAACAGTTTTGAAAACACATGGGGTACTGCAGTAACCATTCTTGCAGAGCTCAAATATATCCTTCGGGAAAGTTTACCAACCATTGAGTGAGAATTATCAATGGACTGCAAAGCAAAGGTTAAGAGGGACAGCAGCTTCTTATACCTGAAAGAAAAAACACATTCAATTACCAGGCAAGTTCAAATTACTGTAAAATATATGCAAATAAAACAAAAGAGCCAGACCGGAAATAATGAAAATATTCATGCATTGTAAAGAGTGTAACCAATGTCACCGAACAACTTGTATAGAAATTGTTGAACGGGAACTTAAAATGCTATGTAAACCTTTACCAAAAACACAACAAAATATTTAAAAAAAAAAAAAAAGCACTTGAAAAAAATACATAAATAAAGAAAATGGTACTAATTTACAGTTTTGTGCACTTTAAAAATTATTTTACTATAAAGGGTCTATAAATTTTTGATTAAGTAGCCTAGATTTTAGATTTTTATTTCAATCAAATATTACAGGCTCTAGTAAGCTACATTTGCTCTGTAATTTTTGAGTCTTTCATAAATCTAACGTGTCCTTCTTGGAGGGGTTGGGTAGGAAGAGGAAAGCAATTTTCAGAAGAAAACTTACCTGACTTCAACAGGCTCAGCTTGTGAAACATCAGTACTGACGATATGAGGGTAAAATTCAGCAGGAAATTCCAACAACAGTCTGTCTATGAGACAAAGGCGGCCCAGGAGTTCTTGCCAGTTGTTTGATTCAGTTTGGTTCCCAAGAATACAATTTAGAACATAATCAACACCACCAATACCAATGGATCCTACGAAAAGGAAAGTAAAAATAAGTAAACGTAAAAAATAGTGATATTCAAATCTAAAACAAAACATGACCACATGACCAACAAAAATACTCTATATTAGTTTTAAGAATTTCTCTCAGAATAATTCATATTTGTAATGTTAACTGACTGAATCAATCTACAAAATTACTTCAAAGTTCTGTAACTGCTCCGTAAGAGACTATGAGAATTAGAAAGTCTGCTACGGAAAACAATAAAACATGCTATAGCAACTTTAGGTAAAAAGTTATTACCAGCTTTAAGTATTTCTCTACCAACTGCCAACTCTCCAGCTTGGCCTTTGCATAATTCCAACAGTGTTGATATGGACAGCTGACTTGTGCGGCTGAAAATGAGAGGAAAGCAACGTCAGTCCTGCATCCTGGATAAAATATACATCAGCTGGAGGGGGGTAACGTAATACCTTGTGATGAAGTGGGAAAAACTCATATTCAGGAGTATTTACTTGCCCACCATTAAAACTGCATTAATGATGTCACCAACAGTACTCATTATTAGGTTTAATTTAAAAAATTTTACCTTCTATGTTAAGCATAGACTCTTCAATATTGGCTCTTAGATAGCAAGTACTGATTTAAATATCAAACCAGATAAAAGGTTCATTTTCATTCCAAATCTTGCAAAAAAATACACATCCAGACATTTTGATTTCTGAGTTTTTAATAAGACTTTCTTACACAAGAACCTTCCCATTCAAAACCCTTACATTCTCTTACATAGCCAGAGTTGAGTTCCAAATAACGTAAAATCTCCTTACAGTATTTCTTAACGGTGTTCAATCATTCAACTGACTAGATAAACAACCTAGCTTCAGAATTTCAGGACATGGGCAACAAACAAGTGCCATGAAAGCACTGAAGTTCTCAGAAAAATGCATACTAATATTGGAAAACGACATGATTTTTCCTCTGCATTTTGTAAATTATTTGTTTTCCCATGTTTTCAGATACTGTAATGTTCTCTTTAAGCAAGAAGACGTCTAACACTTTCAATCTGCAGGCTTGTGTAGAGAAAATAATGGAGGCAAAAAACAGACACCATAAAATGAGAAAGAACAAGTTAAAGACCCTCTATAAACTATGTCATGTTTAGGGCTTTGCACTGGTTCTTTCCAGGTCAGTAATGGCCAAGGAAGCGAAACTGGAACAGACCCAAATGATTACAATTTGGGTGCTCTGAAATGGTAACTAGAACAGTAAAAGTTACAGGTTGAAGCCCTGCTAGAAACCAAATCTCCCTCTTAGAAAACGGCAGTGTACATGTTGCATAGCAACCAGATGTCTTGCCCTTTGGATTTTGAGCATAGTCAGAAACAGTGGTGGCCTGCTCAAAGACGGCAGCTGACCACGCAGCTCTGAACGTGTGGTGCTCTCTGCAGTCCTGCCAATAACCCAATCTCATGCATCAGGCTCCTGAAAGGGCTCACTATGCCACTTCCCATTCCAAGGCTTCAACCCGTAATTTTCCCCTTCTGGAGCACCCAAATTGTACACATTCAAGTCTGTTCTAGTTCTACTTTGTCGGCCATGACTGAACCAGTTTGAACTGGTTCAAAGACCTGGTCACCTGGTTTGGGAAGGAAGAGAAAGACTGGAGCTCCGAATTGTGTAATTGCAGAGGCCAACCAAGGGGGATTTGACTCTTTTTACCATCTGAGAGCTGCTAGGATGTAAAAAGATGGGAACTGCCAAACAACTGTTTATTGTAGCTATGCTTATTTTTCCCTCTAATATGTCAAAGTACTGATTTGCCTTACAATGGTTCCTAATGAGACTAAATTTTCATTTTACATGTTGTGTGACTTTTCCCCCCTAACAACTTCCAATACCTCCCCTTCCACCAGCCCCTGGTAACCACTAATCTATTTCTGTCTCAATGCTTTTGCCTATTCTAGATATTTCATATAAGTGGGATCACACAATATTTGTCCTTTTTTGTCTGGCATATTTCACTCAGCATAATGTTTTCAAGGTTCATCCACATGGTAGCACATATCAGAACTTCTCTTTACAGCTGAATAATATTCCACTGTATGTATATACTACCATTTTGTTTATCCATTCATCAGTTAATGGACAACTGGGTTTTTTCTACCTTTTGGCTATTAGTGATTATGCTTATTACATGAAATGTGGTCCCACATTTTGTGCTAAGAGAAAATAAAAGAGAACCATTGGTTGAATTCATGATAAACGGAGAAATACTGAAGTTGTTAAGGACTTCATTTTACTTGGATCCACAATCAACGCCCACGGAAACAGCAGTCAAGAGAAATCAAACGAAGTATTATTGCATTGGGCAAATCTGCTGCAAAAGACCTCTTTAAAGTCTTAAAAACCAAACATGTTACTTTGAGGACTGAGGTGCGCCTGACCCAAGCCATGGTATTTTCAATTGCCTCATATGCATGCACAATCTGGACAATGAATAAGGAAGACTGAAGAACTGACACCTTCAAATTATGGTGTTGGCAAAGAGTATCGGTCGCCCTGGTGGTGCAGCAGTTAAGTGGTATGGCAAGCTACGGCTGCTAACTAAAAGGTCAGCAGTTCGAATCCACCAGCCATTCTTGGAAACTCTATGGGACAGTTCTACTGAATATACCATGGACTGCCAGAAGAATGAACAAATGTCTTGGAAAAAGTACACAGCTAAAATGCTCCTTAGAAGTGAGGATAGCGAGACTTCATCTCACATACTTAGAACATGTTATCAGGAGGGACCAGTCCCTGGAGAAGGACATCATACTCGGTAAGGTAGAGGGTCAGCAAAAATAAGGAAGACCCTCAATGAGATGGACTGACACAGTGGCTGCAACAATGGCCTCAAACATAGCAACAATTGTGAGGATGGTACATAACTGCGCAGTGTTTCATTCTGCTGTACACAGGGTCGCTATGAGTCAGAACTGACCAGACAGCCCCTAATAACAGCAACATTGGTCAAATAAAAGTATGGCTTGTGCTCCTTTATACTGTCACTGTATCTCAAATCCTTCTACTCCTCAATTAGGGTTGTTATTGTTTCTTGTCAATTTTCAAGGCTATTTCAGGGATATATGGAATACGTTTTTATTATATGACAAAAACTGTTTTAATTAAAATTACAAAGGAAACAACTGAACAGGGTTTTTTGTTTGTTTTGGTCCTAATAATAGGTAACACAGGTATATTTTTACTTGCTTCTATCCTGTGTAATTCACTCTCTAAAATGAGATTATTCCTTACAGATATATATGTCAACTATTATTCTTATCAAGTGGGCTTCAGGTTTAGAATGTTATTTTAAAACAGGAAACAATCAATCACAATACAATAATAATGTGGAAGTCCATGCTATTTGTTATTGTGACTTTTACTTGCCATTAATTCTTCTCTATTCCTTCAGATCTTTAAGAACTACAGTTTAATTTGAAATGTCACATTAGAAAACAATATTCAAAGACTTAATAAATACGTAACAAACACTCACTAGGTGTAAGGCTCTGTGTTAGGCATTTTTAAAACAAGATGATATGAAGCAGTTCATCACTAAGTCCTTACCTATTGGCATCTGCACACTTGACTAGAATGGTGTCTACAACTGGTCGGAGAAGTCTCTGAAGTTTGATTCTTTCTGCCAAACTGTGACAAGGAGTATATACCAGCATGGCTCTTAACGTTTTCTGGGGAAAAAAACACTGAAGGTCAGTTTAACTACATTTAAAAAGAATTTGAGACAATGGCCTAACCTGGGACAATTTGGGCAACAAAATAATAATGACAGGAACAGATTATAATCCATAGAATGAACCAAGAATATACGCTACAAATAGATAATTGAGTAAACAAATAAGCGAATGGTGTACAAACAAAATGAATTTTCCACTACAGTAGAATTCCAACTAATAAATATAGACTGAATAATAAAAATTTTAAAAATCACCACTTGGCAAACAATACAGTAATAACTGTTTCGGGCAAGAATGAATCATAAACAGATACTAAAATTAATGGGAAAAATTATGGTGAGAAACTGGGTATTTATACAGTTTCAAAGTATCTCCCCACAAGACCGTCTTTAATTACAAGGGGAAAAGAGTTAACATTACAATGAAAAAACCTCACAGGCACATTTTAACCAACTGGTTGAAGTTAACATGACTAGTAATTAGGACAAAGCAATCTCCCGTGCCTCCTAATACGATGCACTGAGAAAGACATCAATTCTGTGGCATTCTTCCCCAAAATAACACATATCCTGAGTTAATCATGAGGACACACCAAACAAATCCAAACTGAAGGAAATTCTACAACACAACCAGTCAGTACTCTTCTTCGAAAGTATCAAATTCATGAAAGACAGACTGAAGAACGGTTCTAGATTGAAGGAGACTATGAGGCATAACAATTAAATGCAATGTATGATCCTGAACCGAATGCTGCATCAGAAAAAGAACATTAGTGGGAAAAATAGTATAATCTCAGTATCTGTAGATTAGATAAAAATAGATTAGATAATTGTACTATATCAATGTTAATTTCCTGTTAATTTTGATAACTATACTATGGTTACATAAGATGTTAACATCTGGGGATTCTGAATAATAATAGCTACTATATAGTCAATGTTCATACAGTGTGCCAGATATTATGGTAAAAAGTTTTTTACACAATCTCATTTCAAACCTAAGAGGTAAATATTTTCATTATTTTACAGGTGAGAAAATGAAAGTTTAAGAAAGGTTAAGTAAATTTCCTAAAGGCACACTGCTAGCAAATAGCAGAAGCACAATTTGAATTAAGGTCTCTGTAATCTTGACCCTATGTCCAAGCCCGGGCTAGTCCTAGTTTAACCAGCAGATGATTCAAGTGTCCCTGTTTGGATGATAAATTCTAAGTATACCCAACTTTAACCCCAAGTCCATAACCATCATGCTATGCTACCTCTCAAGAAGATTCATCAGGCACAGTTGTTACAGGATGGATTAGAAAAAGATTGAGGGTGAAAGCAGGGAGACCATTGAGTTTTTAAAACAGACTAGGAAAGAATTCTTCTAAAGGAGTGGTTCTGAAACACTGATGACTTTATCACCCAGATGACGTGGCAATGCCGGAAGACATTTGTGTTTATCATGACTCAGGGGGTTTGCTACTGGTATCTAGTAGGAAGAGGCCAAGGATGCTGCTAAACATCCTACAAGGCACATCACAACAAGCCCCCCACACCCCAATAATTATCTGGCCCAATGCCAATACTGCCAAGATTGAGAATACCTGTTCTAAAGAGATATGTACTCAGTAGAGAGAAAGCAGAATTAGTCTACAAAACTATAAACAGAATAGTGTCTTCATTACTACATCCAAACTATGAAAGGCAACTTCCAACAGGTTAAACCAGAAAAACAACACAGCAATCTATCACAGAACGTTCTGTAAAAAGGCTCCTGAATTTCCATACAAAAATGTTTATTAAAAATCAATTCTCCTTATTGTCTATTAATATAACATTAAAAAAAAAACCAAAAAAACTTAAAAGTAACTTTGATCATCTTGCTATCTCATAAAGCACTTTTAGTCATGTATAAGTTATTTGCTCAGGAAAAATCTAAAGATATAAACAGCAAGACATTCCTACTTACAGGTAGAAAAGTAAGTAGTACAGGTAGTCCCCGAGTTACGACGTATTCGAGTTACAACAAATAGCACTTACAACTGCCTTTTTTTTTTTTTTGTATATTTTATTGTTGGTAATAAGGACTATATACAAAGTTGCAGCGCATAATTTGCTAATGTTATCATTCTCATGCCAACCCCCAATGACAAATAAAGATTGGATTTATGAAGATATTGATAATAAAAGGCAATAATAATGAAAACTGAAAAAAAAAAAAAAAAAGAAATAGTCTACTTACATCAGAGCCAACTTACGACATAGTCATTGGAATGAAACCCCATTGTAAGTCGGGGACTACTTATATACAGGAAAATTTGTATATTGGACATTTTGATCAAGGATTCTATAGTGAAATACTGATCAAAAGGGAGAAAATGCAGAACAGAATTTCAAATTCTCATGGACCCCAGACTTTCCACAGCCATGAAGGCTGAATGAACCCCCAAAACTACTGAGCTGAATTAATCTTTAAACCTTAAACCAAAAATATCCACTGAAGTATTCTTAAAACTAAACAGTAGTTTAGCTTAACTAGTTAAAAAATGTCTGCCTTGAGCATTAGGACCTTTTAAGAACTATCTATATGAGATCAAACTGAAAATAGCAACTGGAAAGATTAGATAGGAACCCTAGGGAGCAGTGAGTTTATGTTAATGAGGGAGGAACAACAAAGAAAAGGAGCGTGAGAATGGGTGCACAACTGAAAGAATGTAATTCATGTCACTGAATTGTATAGGTAGAAACTGTTGAACTAGTGTATGTTTTACTGTGTTTTATTCCCAACAACAACAAAAATTTTGTAGAGATTAAAATCAGTAAAATTCAAATGAAGAGATTAAATGGAAAAAATGCAATTTCCTGGGATTACAGAGTACAAATCCACCACCTGTCTGTCAGTCTGTCACACTACGGTAGCTCAAGTGTTGCTATGATGCTGGAAGCTATGCACTGGTATTTCAAATATCACCAGGGTTAACCATGGTTGGCAGGGTTCAACAAAGCTTCCAGATTAATCCAGCAATTCCACTCCTAGGAATATATCCTAGAGAAATAAGAGCCATCACACCAATAGACATGTGCACACCCATGTTCACTGCAGCATTATTCACAATAGCAAAAAGATGGAAACAACCTAAGTGCCCATCAACAGATGAATGGATACATAAACTATGGTACGCAGACACAATGGAATACTATCCAAGGATAGAGAACACTGATGAATCCACGAAACATCTCACAACCTGGATGAATCTGGAGGGCGTTATGCTGAGTGAAATAAGTCAATCACAAAAGGACAAATACTGTATGAGATCACTATTGTAAAAACTCATGAAAAGGTTTACACACAGAAAGAAACAATCTTTGATGGTTTCGAGGGAGGGGATGTCTGGGGAGGGAAAACAACTAACTAGACATAGATAACTTTGGTGAAGGGTAAAACAGTACACAGTTCTGGGGAAGTCAGCACAACCTGACCAAGGCAAGGTTACGGAAACTTCACAGATACATCAAAACTCCCTGAGGGACCGAATTAATGGGCTGAGAGCTAGGGACTACGGTCTCGGGGGACATCTAGCTCAATTGGCATAACAGAGTTTATAAAGAAAATGTTCTACATCCTACTTTGGTAAGTAGTGTCTGGGGTCTTAAAAGCTTGTGAGCGGCCATCTGAGATACTCCACTGGTCCTACCCTGTCTGGAGCAAGGGAGAAGGAAGAAAACCAAAGACACAAGGGAAAGATTAGTCCAAAGGACTAATGGACTACAACTACCACAGCCTCTACCAGAATGAATCCAGCACAACTAGATGGTGCCTGGCTACCACCATCAACTGCTCTGACAGGGATTACAATACAAGGTCACTGACAGAGTGGGAGAAAAATATAGAACAAAATTCTAACTCACAAAGACCAGACTTACTGGTCTGACAGAGACTGGAGAAACCCAAGAGTATGGCCCCTGGACACCCTTTTAACTCAGTACTGAAGTCACTCCTGTCAAAGATTAAACAGGCCCATAAAACAAAACGAGACTAAATGGGCACACCTGCTCAGGGGCAGGGATGAGAAGGCAGGAGGGGACAGGAAAGCTGGTAACGGGGAACCCAAGGTCGAGAGGGGGAGAATGTTGACAAGTTGGGGGGTTGGTAACCAATGTCATACGTGTATTAATTATTTAATGAGAAACTAATTTGCTCGGTAAACCTTCATCTAAAGTACAATAAAAAAAAGAAAAAAACCCAGGCCCCCAGATTTAGATTAGGAAGAAAGGCTTGGAAAATTAGCCAATGAAAACCCTACGCGTCACAACAGAATAGTGTCCAATATAGTGCTCAAAGACGAGCCCTCTAGGTTGCAAGGAACTCGAAACACACAGTGGCCTCAACAATGGACTTCAGTATACCAATGATCATGAAGATGGAGTAGGAAGGACCAGACAATGTTTTGTTCTGTCACATATAAGGTCACCTAGAGTTGAAGCCTACTCAATAACAACTAACATGGGATAAAAATGAAATATGGATTTTCTGAAATCAGATAATGTAGTTATACTGTATCTTAAAAACGGTATCTATAAAACATTAAAAAAGACCCCATAATGATATGCGCATGAATAAAGCTACTTACTAAAGCAGCAACGTACACTTTGTAGACAGGGTCAGCACAGACCATTGACAAAACGTTGCAGCATGCTTCCACCACGTCTCCTGAGATACTGGTCTGGGAAGACCCACTGGTGGCTCCAACACTTGGACTGCTTCCACTGCTGCCCCCCGAATTTCCAGTGCTCTCCCCATTTGCCAACAGCAGGGCCCCACTAACATCATGGGAAAGACGCCGGAGGGCCATCTCTCTTACATTCCAGTTTCTAGAAAATAAGCAGCCGACGAGTTCCATTCCAAACACCTACATCAAAGAAACACAACAAATTCAATGTGAAGAAAAACTAACGAACCCTGAGTATTCTGAGTTAAGCTTGATTACTAAGAAAAATGTGACATTCTTAAATCGTCATCATACTACACAACTACTAATACATCTATCCACTTAAAAAAATCAAAAGGAGGAATTTTATACTCAGGTTTAACTGGTAATTATCAAAAGTCACTAACGTTTATTAGCTCAAGTAAAATTAAGAGTGAACTCTGTTAAGAAATTAGATGGCTATACATACATTTCCATGCCTAACTGCTGCCTGTACCCTCACGCTTATAAAACAAAACAAACTGTGAAGAGCCTCAACTTTGTATTCATATTAAGGCAGCTTACAGAGAAAAAACTGGAGCAAAATCTAGAAAAGCCAAGTGAAGTCAAGAAAGGAATCAGTGCTTTCAAAAAATAGTGTTTAAACTTTTTTTTTAAGTCAAAGATCTTAAATTATTTTATTTATGTCTTGAACATACAGGTTGAAAAAAAAGCACTATACATAAAATAGGTAGGATCAGAATAGAGCGGAAAAATCGAAAGACTAAAGGAAAAATGCTTGTGTCCAAATCAGCAAAGGATAATGATACACCTATAATTAATTACGGTCATCACTACCAGGCCTACAAATTCAGAGTCCCTGAAAAAAGCAAACGATAAGTAGTCCTGACATTATGGGCCAATTAGCAAAAATAAGTTTAATTTCTAAGATAATTTACCATCTGAAAAACTTCTAAATATTAGAGATAAATAAACACAATTTTGGGGAAAACAAATCATGACATATTTATGTGTTCTGTTATAAAGTAATAGTAAAGAGAATAAATCAACTAGAATATACAGAACTTCTTATATGCCTGGCACTGTAAGTAGCATTCTGCTATTTAGGTCTTAATTTTGTCTTACATAATATTCTTCATAAAAAAACCTAGGAATATACAGCCTAGTCCAAACTAGTGTTTATGCAAAGCAAGCTAGAAAGCTGTCTTAAAAGAGCGGCATCTGATAGCTCAGTATCAACTTGGAAATTTTTATTACAAGGTCTCGTGAAGGGAAAAGTAAGGCTCTATGTTAAATATTATTAGTGATCTGGATATAAGAAATAAGATGTGTTTATTAAGTTTTCAGATTTTATTAGATTCATTATGGGTTACCAATATGCTGGGAAAACATAATTAAAAAATACACATAAAAAAACAAGACTAATATTAATATAAACAACTGCAAACTACAATGGAGCCCTGGTGGTGCAGTGGTTAAAATGCTCGGCTGCTAACCAAAAGGTTGGCGGTTTGAACCCACTAGCCATCTGTGGGAGAAAGATGTGGCTGTCTGCTTTCGTAAAGATTGCAGCCTTGGAAATCTTATTGGGTAGTTCTATTCTTGTCCTGTAGGGTCGGTATGAGACAAGATCAACTCAATGACAAACAGTTTTTTTTAAAGGCCATAACAGAAACCCTGGTGGCCTAGTGGTTAAGAGCTATGGCTGCAAACCAAAAGGTCAGCAGTTCGAATCGACCAGATGCTCCTTGGAAACCCTATGGGGCAGTTCTACTCTGTCCTATAGGGTCACTATCAGTCAGAATTGACTCGATGGCAACGAGTTTTTTTTTTTTTAAATAATGGTCATAAAAAGAAAAAGAAAACAGGCTTAATGAATTAACGTGGCTATTTACAAATTTAACAGTATATGTGAGCAAGATTCTCAAAAATAATTATTTTACTTCACTAGTGTCTATTGGATACTACAGGTTAACTAGCCACTATTGAAGACATAGTCTGGTTTGGCTTCTACATTTTCTAAATAATGCGCAAAGAGCCAACAACAAAGAAAATCCTTAGAAATGAACAAACAAGCAAGCAAAACCCTAATCACTGAGGATGAAAAAACATTTAATCAGAAGAGAAGGCGAAGGAATGGTAACTGTCTTTACAAATGAAAATGACTATTACAAGGTAAATACCACATATATTTTTTCTTATTCACCCACTCAGCAATTATTAAGTACCTACTGTATGCCTTGTGGAGCCCTGGTGGCACAGTGGGCACAGTGGTTAAGAGCTTGGCTGCTAACCAAAAGATCGGCAGTTTAAATCCACCAGCCACTCACTGGAAGCCCTATGGAGCAGTTCTACTCTGTCCTATAGGGTCACTGTGAGTCAGAATGGACCCAATGGCAATGGGGTTTTTTGTTTTTTTTTTTAATTATATGCCTTAGTATGCAGAAAGGGGAAACTGAGTTTAAATGGCAGCAAATAAGAAAAACGACAGGAAAATATTTAGCAGGAATGGGGATTAAACATTGGAATGGTTTCTTTGGACAACCATTTATATTTGTTAGCTCAGGAAGAGATGTTTCTAGGGATGGGAGGTCAGACTACAAAGAATTTTTGAGGTTTAAGCTCTACAATAATTATCAGAGTATTAACGCCCAAAGTAAAATTAAAAATTTCAATGGAGTAAGAGTCATGATGCAGTAAAGCATAAGTATTTTCTTAAATTGTAATAACTGGGGTTTGGGAGGAGCCCTGGTAGCTCAGTGGTTAAGAGCTCAACTGCTAACCAAAAGATTGGCAGTTTGAATTCACCAGTCGCTCACTGGAAACCCTACGGGGAAATTCAACTCTGTCCTATAGGGTCGCTATGAATTGAATCGACTTGACAGCAATTGGTTTGGTTTTTTTTGAGGGGGTTGGGAGGAGTGACAACAGTGTTAATTGGTCTATGCTTCCCTGAGAAATGAAGAACAAAGAATAACTTACCTGAATCCATGGCTCAGCTAAGTCTTTATAAGCAGGAGGGATCTGCTGAGTTCCATAATGAGTAAGGTTAAAATTGCTCTCTTGGTTCCTTCTTTGTGATCCAGCTAAAGGCTGCTGTTGTGTGGTTTGCTGCTGTGCAGCTCGGAGAGAAGAAGGGGAATCCACAGGGCTTGACAACTCATGGCTAAAATGAAAAATTAACAAAGTTCGCTAAGAAAATTAACAGGTTTAAATAACACTCGAGAACATTTTTATTTTTTGTTAAACACATACGAATCATTAATTCAAAATTGTTACCTGTAGAAATCATGGGATCTCCACTTAGACCTACAGAGGGGACATATTAGAGGTTCTCTATTTCTTCTACATTCTTCTGCCCCTGAGAAATCAGAGAAAAAAAGAAAACTTACAAAAACGCAAATGCTTAACATTAGGTTAAAATACTTTGATATAATATTTACTTCAACACAGGCAAATTCAGCAGGTTACATTATTCTGATGCTTGTACTTTTTGTGAATATCATTTTGTCAGTTATGATAATATGTACATTGCTTACTAATTTTCTAAATGTTCTACCCCATGTGTTTACCTGGCAATGCCATTCCAAATCCTGCTTTGGTGTCACCCTCTCTGTAACACCTGCCCAGGCCTTCTTCCACCTCCCTCCCTCCCTGTACACTTTCCAGACCAGAATTATGTTTCTAATTCTGTGTGCTCCTTCTATTACCACATGTAACACACTGCACTGTATTTTCTTTTAATAGATCCTAAACTTCAATTTGCTGAAGACTTCACCTAGGGTCTAGATATATATTTTTTCTTTTCTCACCAATCTTCCCTCACTTATAGAGTAACCTTGTTAAGCAAGCATGGGGAAGAAAACAGCCACATACAAATTGACATGCAGTGGTGGTGCAGCTTGTTTCTGCAGCCATCTTCACACACTGTGAGACTTTCTTCATCAAGCATGCCCAGCAAGCAAATAGGACACATCTGCTCCTCTTCATCTTTTATACTATAAGGGAAAGAGAAAGCATTAAATACACAGTAATAATAATAACAATACAAGAAGTAATGTCATATGCTGAAAACAATTTCTGCTTGTTTATAATATGAACAAATTAGCCAGAAATTCTTAAGAGCATCTTAAATAATTACTTGACATTTCTTTCTTCTATCAATATACAGTAATTTTAAATGAGATTCACATACCTGTGTATTTACAGACTGTGTGTGCGAGCTAACCTGTTCTTGCCATGAATACAATTCAATAACGAGCTATAGGAGATACATGGTTATCTCAAAATTTTGTTTTGCTATTGCTAATTGCCTCCATGAACAACTACTTCCCTTGCCAGACCAGAAGAACTGGATGGTGCCCAGCTACCATTACTGAACATTTTAATCAAAGATTCCATAGAAGAATCCTGATCAAAAGGGGGAAAATGCAGAAAGAAATTTCAAATTCTCATGGACTCTAGACTTCTTGCAACCATGGAGGGTGGATGAACCCCTGAAATTATTGCCCTGAGACAATCTTTAAACCTTAAACCGAAAATATCCACTGAAGTCATCTTAAAACCAAACAACAGTTCAACTTAACTAGTAAAAAAGGTCTGCCTTGGGCATTACACTCTTTTAAGAACTATCTATATGGGATCAAATTGACAACACTAACTAGGAAGATAAGACAGGCACCTTAGCGGACAGTGAACGTATGTTAACTAGGGAGGAACAATTCAGAAAAGGAGGGTAAGAATAGTTGCACAACTCGAAGAATGTAATCAATGTCACTAAATCCTACATGTAGAAATGATTGAACTGGTGAATGTTTTGCTGTGTATTATTTTCAACAACAAAATAAATTTAGAAAAAAAATTTTGTATCATACCTTTCGAATAAACAAATTGCTCTAAGGCTGACTGTGCAAACACACAACCTTTAACTACATGCAATAGTTTTAAGATTTCAAGCACTGAAAGGGACCCTAGAGCTCATCTATTCACCATCCTAATTCTGAAGGCTCCTCTCAGACACTTTTGGTGGGAGTATAAACTGTCCAACTTTCCTAGGAAAAAAACTAGAAACTTATGTCACATTTTATTTTTGTTTTTTATTGTTGATAAAAGTACACACAAGAAAACATCCATCAATTCAACAATTTCTACATGAATATTTCAGTGACATTGATTACCTTCTCCAAGTTGTTCAATCACTCTCATCTTCCTTTTTCCAAATTGTTCTTTCTCCATTAACATGAACTCACTGCTCCCTAAGCTGCTGCTGCTTCTTTTTTTTTTTTAAGTATTGTACTTTAGATGAAGGTTTACAGAATAGTTTCTCATTAAACAGTCAGTACACATATTGTTTTATGACATTGGTTAACAACCCCATGACGTGTCAACACTCTGCCTTCTTGACCTTGAGGATCCTTTTTTTGGTGAAAATATATATTATGTCACATTTTAAATGTACACAATCTTTCATCAGGAAACTAGATTTCTAGGAACCTATCATAAAGAAATAAACAGACAAATATACAAACATATCTGCATGCGAATGTTCACTGCAGTATTATTTAGCATAATGAAAAAATGGCAACAACCAAATGGATATCAGAAAGAAGCACGCATGAACGCACACACACACGCACACACACACAATTATGGTACACTCAGGAACTACAGAGCCTTTTAAAAGAATCAACTAGATCCATAAAAAATGACAAAGAAAGATGTTCACAACATTCTGTATGGTGAAAAAAAGTAGATAAAAGTCTAATAGATACAGGATGATTCCATTTACGGTAAAATAAAGCAAAACTGCAACAGACAATGGGCAATATATCTGATATATAAAATATATATAACATACAGTACATAACATTGTAAATATTTGTATATTCCTAATAAAGTGCTTTTAAAAATCAGTAAAAAAATATTAATAGCTCAATAGTAAAATGGGCAAAGAGAAAAAGGCACTGGGATAAAAAATAGCCAATAAACATGAAAAGACATCTAACTCCATTAATAAGTATAAAATATATATTAAAGTAATGAGGCCATACCTTATTTTATTGTACATTTTTAGATGATCTGATTGGTAAAAATTAAACAGACTGGTAACATCTGGCACTGATAATGGCATAGGAAAACAGGTTCTCATATATATTGTAGGTAGAAGTAAAAATGAAAATTTTGGAAGGGAATTTGCTAGTTGTTCTTAAAATATTAAATGTACATAGCCATGAACTAAAAATTCTATTTTCTAGGATGCTACCCTACATAAACAGGATGTGTAAAAAAAAGAAAATGTACTGCATTTAATAAGCAAACAAAAAAAAAATCAGAGATGTACTAAATGTTAAAGGCAAGAGCAAAGTAAATTGGGGTATATCAATATAATTTTATATAGTCATAAAAAGAGACAAGTGTGTCTTTTTGTGTTGACTTGGGAAAATATTCTTGATATATTAAAAAAAAAAAAAGCAAGTTGCGGACCAAATTATGGCATGACTTTGTTTGTCTGAAAAACTACAAGAATATAGCAGAAGTAATGGTGTGTGGGGTGTGTGTGTGTGCATGCGCAAGCACGCGTGTGTGAGGAATTTTATTTCCCTGCTTTACATAATTTTTAAAAGCTGCATCAAACTGTGAACAATGGTTATTTTGTGTGTAGTTAGACTGCAGAGGCTTTCATTTTCTATTTTATAAACTTTTTTGTTTGAACTTTCATAATGTGATGAATGGCTTTTAAAGTCATTAACAGCATTTCCTTTAGAACATAAAGACAAGGCCCGGAGATGTTAAATAACCTGCTCAAGGTCATAAAATCTGTTTGTGGCGAAACTATAATTAGACTTTAATACTGGAGAAGAACATCCATCCCATAACCTACCTATCCTTACAAAGTCCAGATTCTCTGCTAAGCTCTGGTTTTCTACTGGGCCCAGGAGTGCACATCTACTGTCTTAAGCTATAATTCCCAAAAAACAGGTCTGAGTGACTGACAGCAAAATAACCAGTTCTTCAAGTGCACTCTCCAAAAAAAAGGTGAACAACCAGGTTAGCAAAGTCATAATGTGTGATTCCAAGGTGAAGGCACACTTACCAGTGCCTTTCTCTCCCATCTTATCTGCCCTATCTCTTTTCATTATTAGGGAGCTACCTGGAGAGGGAAAAGCTGTCAAAACATGCAAGCATTAATAAAAAACAAAAACAAAAACCCACATTACAGAAATGACTTATACAACAAACTCTCAGGGTCATCCACCAAAGAGGATATTCAAATGGCCAACAAGCACATAAAACTATGCTCTGATTTACAGTGGTTACCAGGAGTGGGAGGGTGTGGGAAAAGGGGGGTTCTGCTTAGGGAGCACTGAGTTTATGTTAATGGTGGTGGAGTAATTTGGAAAAGGACAGCAAGAATGGTTGCACAACTTGAAGAATGTAATCAATGTCACTGAACTATACATGTAGAAATTGTTGAACTGGTGTATGTTTTGTTTTTATGTTTTCACCAAAATAAAAAGTTAAAAAAAAAAATCATTCAGGATCAACTAATTTTTCAAATAATTATACCAAAATTAGTTTATTAAAAAGACTTAGGACAAATTCCACAATTTAGTCAAATTGTATGTCAAGTGCAACTTATTAATTAAGTGCTTGCTGACTAAAAAAATAACATTCTAAGGTTATTTCTGCCCATCTTTTTCCAAGTATACATTTTGTAAGCACCGGATTATTTATTCATATACATGTACAATTTCATATCTGTAAAAATTTTATCATAAAAATTCCACTTGTCAATAAACTGTTTATATGCATAATTTTTAATGGCTGTATAAATTCCCATTGATTAGACAGATCCTAACTACTTAACTATCTATTTATTGTTGGACATTTGAGCTGTTTCCATATTTTAAAAAACCATGATAAACATCTTTTTGCTCACCTTTCCTACATTTCAGATTATTTCCTTTTTAAGCAGCTTTTTCAGAAGTAAAATCACATGCGTATAGGACAGGGATTAGCAAACTACAAAAGGATTCAATAAGGCTGCTGCCTGCTTTGCAAATACACTTTTATTGGAACTCAGTCACACCCATTACTTACATATTATCTTCAGGCTATTAGGGCAGAGCTGAGTATTTGTGAAGGAGTCCTAAGGCCCCCAAACCCAAAGTATTTAAAGTGTAAAAAACTAACCTGTGATAACACAACCTAGCAACAGCCATTAAAATTTTTATTCCCTCCATTTTTTTATGCACCTATAATACTTTTTATATATAAAAACTGGGTTCATGCATGGTATGTAGTACTGTAATCTGGACTCTGTCTCACTTATAAACATATTTCCATGCCATACAATAGTCTTCAAAAGCATAATTTTAAGGCTGCTTAAAATAGTCATAATATGGGTATACTTCAACTTAACCATTATCTTGCTGTTGGATATTTAAAGTTCTTACCAGTTTTTCACCACAATACTGTGAGAAACAGTCATAAAGTCTTGTGAATTACTCAGATTAAAATTTCTTAAGAAAAAAAAAGTATATTTAGTGGATCAAAAAATATAAACATTTTAAAAAGTCACTTTTTTTTTTTTTTACAGAAAGGCTCTATTACTTTACATATAGTGAATCATATACTTACAAGAACTGAATTGTCTCCTTAAAAGAGTCTCCACTAATTTTGTAACTTTTTATTTTTAATAAGCATTTCTTGGGTTATTAGGTTGATTGAAGTTTTCATTCTTGTTTGTACCTTGAAATTCTTCTTTTGTGAATATTCTCTTTTAGATGCCCTCTGTCCTTTAGATACTAGGATCCTAAACCCTGCTTGCAGCTATTTTTTCTTTTGGAAGGGTGGGTGGGTGG